AAAAAAAAAAAAAAAAAAACCAGTAATTAATTTTTTCTTTCCTTTATTTTACCCATACGCAGTTGCTGCACGTAAGTAAAATGCAAACCTCTGGAGGAGGAGGGCCTCGTACTCGCGGGCGAGCTTCTCGTCGATGCCCATGAGGTCGTGGGCGTAACGGCCGGCGCAAGCGCAGCCACCGCGAGCCTGCACCCCGAAGACGTCGTTGAGAACGGCGCAGACAAAGTTGTGGTGGAGAAACGTGCCCCGCGGGTGGCGCACCATGAACGAGAAGGTCGGCAGCCGCTTGACGTTTTGCGAGCTACAGCCCAGCAGTATCAGCTCGGGTATCGTGCGCACGTGGGACAGCACTTGCCTGCAAACAAAGTCATTAGTCTTATCAAAATGTCTCCCATGTATACCTATACTCATTGGTGGATTTATACGCACTTTGTGATCTTGTCCTGGCGGGAGGCGATCACCTGGGGCGTGATGTTTTCCTTGAGCTGGACGGCCAGGGCGCAACGCACGGACTCAACTATGCCCCCGGTGCCGCTCTCCTCCCTGAGCTCCGGGTCGCGCAGGTAGCGGTGCGAGTCGCGCATGTCCTCGGGCCCAACATCCTCGTCCAGGAGAAGCGACCGTTTGACCACCAGGACCCCCGGAGTCTGGGCGCCCCCGATCAGTTTGTGCCCCGAGAATATCATGGCGTCCTTGTGCACCGTCGTCCCGTCCACTCCGGGCAGGTGGGGGTTCATCTCCATTTTGACGTAGGGAGCTGGGGTGAAACGATGGTACTTTATTGCAATACGGAGGAATGTAGATCGGGAAAAGCTACAGAGCGAGACTCACCCGCAGAGGTGTAGTCCCAGATGCTGAGGGCGCCGTGTTGGCGCAGGAGGAGGGTCGTGGCGACTTCGTCGGCCAACACGCCGGTTATGCAACTGGCCGCGCTAAAGTAACCGACGAGCCTAGAGTACGAGCTGGTCGCGCGCTCCTCCACGAGTTTTCGCTCGAGGTCGTTCAGATCCAGGAAGCCCTCACGGGTCTCGTCTATTCTCACCAGCTGCAGGCGAACGGGAAAAATAATAATAACAATTAGTGATTTTCCTCTTGCTCTCTTTTAATGTCAAGTAAATAGCAAATGAGCTCGTACCTTGACCCCGTGCTCGCGCCACGGCCTGAGGTTGGCGTGGTGCTCGAAGGGCCCGACAAAGACCGTCGTCGGGGTCGTGAGGTCGAGGTGCCGGAGGAGGGTGCGCAACGCTCCGGCCGTGCTTTGGCCCGTGAACAGCACCGCGTCGTCCTCGTCCGCGCCGACCGCGTGGCGCACAATGTCCCTCGCCTCGTGCCTACATCGGATGTATCGTACATGAATATGTATACTTTATTTACTCTGCTTGATTGTTTGCGGATATACAGAGGACTCGGGGGTACTTTGTGTTGTGTTGTACTTTTTTTTTTTTTCATAGAAAAGGGTGATTTCGAGTGATTATCCGAGAGAAAAACTATGCCCCTCGGCCGAGCTGTACGAGCAACATAGCTAGTATATACAATATAGTATTGATGGTACATGGAGGTTGGGGCCAGAAGTAACGAGGAGCTTGTGCAAATGTATAATTTCTCGAGGAAATAGGTCAGTGCATGCCTTAGTTGTTCCGAACAAGCGACTCTTGTGTACAAGTATAGGAGGGGACATTCTCGCGCAAAAGAGCACCGGCCGTGTGTGTTCTTCGACTGGATTAGAGTAGCGTCGTTTTTCACCAACACGACACGCGTGAGGAAAGGTGTCGTGTACGTCCGAAAATATTTTAATTCATCGCCGCGACGCGAAGAAGCGTTATTACATTGCAGGGTCATTGCCGGTAATTGGGTCATCCGCCCTGAATAACGGAGGAAATGCCGTGTACGCTCGCGCGGGTCTAAATTTACGCGGTGCATGTCACCGTGGCCGTACAAACAAACAACATTGCTCGCGTCAACGCTACGATCATCGTTTATCACGAGGCCCGACTCGCATCGACTCCCAACGGCTCTACGTGTAAATTGAAGGTAATATAATAATGCTCCCGTTGTCGGTTATTGCCAACCAAACTGTATTATTTTAGTTTTCGTTGTATATATACTGCACCCACCTGAAGAGCGACGATTGCAAGCTGCATATCGAAGTGGAAGCCCGGGTGTCGCCCAAGTACGGCAAAATGACGTTGAATATGTAGTCCTCCAAGAACTGCAGGGATCTACCCGTGGCCGTGTAGTCGCAGTACGTAACTGAAAATTTGAAAAAGAGAAACACGTTGTTGTTAACCAAAATTTTAGCGAATCTATAACATGCGTCATTATTTTATGTAATGCGTAAAAACAGAGACGTCAGAGCTGAACAGTACTTCAAAACGATTAATTCTAGTTGGAGCGAGTATGGTAAGTAATTTGCCGATCGCTAATTTTTTTATTGCCTCATCCAACGCATAGAAAAAAAAAAAAAAACAGTAGATGTCTTTCTATGAGCTCCATCGTGCATGCAATTGTTGCGTAACAACGAACGATTGAGAAGCTACCGCTGCTTCTTCTGCAGATTGTCATAATCGGTATTTACGATCGGCATCGTCCGTTAATCCGTGAAACCGGTTTTTTCTCAAAACTTTTGAGCTCCAGGCGCACAAAAACGTCAGAGATAACGCGCCGAACTCGATATCTCACGCCTCGTTGCTCAACTGACTCTAACCCTGATATAGATACAGTATAATGCGTTGCTAATCGATCAAAGATACGAGTTTTTTCTCGAACAAAAAAAAAATTCACGTCCAACATCATTTGGCAATTTTCGTCTTCAGGACTAGACGACCTGGACTTGCGCGGATTTCAACTTTAACGGCTCGACGAGCAACTAAATCGCCCAACCGGCTCGAGTATAAAATTTGCTTATTGGCATATAACATGCGTCAGAGGATCGGCTATTTTCGCCCGCTAAAGTATGCATGATGTCCAATAAGTGTCACCGAAGACGCGCACGGGCGATCGGGTGAATCGAAGAGCTGGGCCGAAGCCAGCGCGTATATAAGCGTCGTTAGCCCACCTAAAAGCCATTCGCTACAACGTTTACTTGTGTATAAATATATGGCACACGCGCGTGCGGGCGTAGGTGCGCCCACTGATAGCGCGTGTACTCCCTCGATGACGAAAATCACCCGACTCGTGAAATATTTAACGCCTCGTTGCGGCATCTATGCGTGTGTAACGTGTAGGACAGGAGGATTTTCTCGGTATAGGTTTAAAATTAGTCTGGTCGCGAGGGCGTCACCTCGAGTCGTGATACCCGGTATTTGAACAGGTTTATTTTCGAAGATCTCGAATTTTGAGCTTCGTTGGGCACGCGCCGCGGTTCTAGAAAGATGCCAAGGTTGTACGGAGTTCGCAGGGTATAAGTACACGATTTTTAAATACATATACATTTGCACTTTATGGGCTTAAAATATAAGCGGGTGGACATATTGTTGTTGCTTTTCAAGACAGCACGCGCGCTCTAACGAGAGATCGGTTTCATCGGTTAACGAGATCGAGACGTGGACGGCGCGCGATGTGTCGGGATGATGCTTAATTGCCGGATTTTGGTGTATACACGATTTACATTCTTGATGCCTCGGTTTCGGGGGCGAGAGCGGACAGTATGCTCCAAACGCGAAAGAAACGGTACATAAGTTCAGCACGGCGTTGTCTGGGCGAGTGCCAGTTCAGCAGGTAGTATAATCACTGAGTGCTTCCACCCCCTACTTCTCGGCTCGTACAACATTTTCCCCATTTGTACTTTTCATTGATGTACACTGTTACGAGTCCATCTCGGGTGTCTTTGTTTCAAATCGTATACATACCTAGATACAATAAATATGTACCTATATTGATGACGAGTACGATGTGTAATTACGATGTGTACAATTTTTTTTCATTCCTTTTTTTTTTAACCAAAAGGATTTTAGCCATTTGAAAAATATGTACTGGAGTTAGCTCTCGGTGATCAAACCAAGAATCGGCCTCTTTCTCGCCCACAAGTTGTTGCATATATACATCACATATTATGTACATATATATTTATAGCTTTGGTAACACGAGTCGAGCATAACAGCTTGTTTTGCATGCCAATCGCTCGGCCCATAATATATAAATCGGATGGCGCCGCTTACCGATCTTACCTATATTCATATACATATTGCCGGCTTGGCTCCAGTCCTCGTATACATATATACATCGTATACATTATAATACACGCATTTGCGTAACACCCGTTGTCATGCCTTATAATCCTTTACGTAACTCCCTCTGCGTCCCGATATCCGCACGGCGAATTTGCAGCTAACGTAATTGTTGTAAAATGAACATTGGGCCAGCAGAACCGTAAATTTATGATCTGTCTTGAACGAGGGGAAAGAAAGGTAGAAACGGCATAGCAAGTCGGCACTGATGTTATATACCCGCAGCCACCTGACACACAATAGCCGACTGGCGGTGATGGGAGCAGAGCTGGAGCTACTGCAGCAGCTCATGTACAAGGAGAACGAAGAACGGCACCCCAAGAGAGTCACTCGTGTTTAAAAGATATATAGGCATACCTCTGCACACGCCGACCTAGTTTGGACCAGACGAGTATATATACTTATATAGATGAGCCCGGTGATCGCTTGACCCGCACTGTATATATTGGACCCGCAAAAAAAATCTACGATTCCCCTCGATTCGCTGATTTTTTTTTTTTTTTTTTTCCTTTTCCCTCGTCGCGTCGTTTATACGTCGAGAACGACGCTCGTTCAATCCCTGCACATATGTATACCGATGAAGATCATCGGTAGTTGGTGACTTCGGTTGGTGCTGTGTGTACAATAAATACAGATATACACGGTTATACCAAACATAAACTCGATCCTCGCACGTGTACCTATACGTATACATATATTATATATACTAACAACAGCAACACTATGGCTATACCGGCTGCTGTCCTCTCGTGCGGCTGTATCGTTAAGAGGAAAGACTTTGGTTCTGTTATTTTATGTACCAACTTCATCTCTCCTCGATCAGGGTCGACTGGTTCTACACTCGGCACGAGCGGAGACGCATCTTTCGCGTTCTATTTCATCTCTCTCTCTTTTTTTTTTAATTTTACCTTTCCGTATAGGTGCCTGATGTGTGTCGTAGGATTGGACAGAACCTTGAGCTCTTGCCCTTACGTTTCCGTGCTATACCGATTTTTCTACCTCCAAAAGAAAAAAAAAAAAAAAAAGGTTATTCATACAAGTCGAATCAGTGAACGACGCAGTAGCGCGTCTATAACAGGCTCATTAGGCTGTCGACTCCTCGGCTGTATAGGTATAACATGACGATCGGAGACACATTTAAATTGGGAAATTCAATAACAATCAAGACAATAGGGAGCGGGCCAAAAGTGTTTACGCTGCCGGCCCGAAATAACTCGAGGGAACGAGCCGTTTGGTACACGTATATGGGGCAAATAAAATCTCGCGATCGATACACAAATACCCGAATATACATGGTAATTTGGTAATCTTTCATCGGCGGTACGTCAGAGAGCTGCTATCTGTGTAAACTCCGATGACGGCACACTGTACATTGTACAACAATGTAGGTACCCGAGTTGTTACGCTCGTCGAAGGCCGTCGTGAATCATGCGTGCGTAAAAGTCTTGCATCTATCTGGGTACGAGCCACCCGTACCTACTACAGTCGAATCAGCCGGCCGGCTGCAGCTGTATAAATACGTTACTATTAGACACGTGTATTTATTCGTCCAGTCGGATGGGGCTCCTTTTATTCGCTGAGAGCAAGTCGCTAAAACTCTGTATTGTGTTATCTCTCTCTCTCTCTCTCTTTCTCTTTTTATCGCGTTTCTTTCCCCCAACTCTTGGTTTTGCGCGATACTTGCTCGTTGCACAATTGACAAGGCCATCAGTCAATAGTGCGGTGCACAACTCGGACGCATTGATATAATTTGTTGAGGATTTTTTTTTTTTTCCTTCCACTCTGTTGTTCTGGTAACGAAGATGTTGTCACCACAGCGAAGTTTCATTCAAAGCCAATCGCGTGTGTATTAGCAGGCCATTGTGTTATTCGTGTGCGATTGGAAACGCGTCAAGGAATACTCGCAAATATATTTAAACTGCTTTGTTTTTGTTTTTTTTATTTTATTTCTTATCTATTGCCCAACGGAGCAAAATACCTGAAATATACCGAATTTGTGAAGATTGGGGTTTTTTTTAATTTTGTGCCTGCAAGAAAATATATATAAGCACACGCGTGATTTGTAGGAGGAAAAAAAGCGTCCCATCGAGATGCGAGTAGGACCGAAAAACCCCACGGGCGACTAATACGCAGTTTCAAATACACTCGTTCAGAAAGCATGAGTAATTTGAAACTTTGGAGAAGCGAAGAAAGAAAGAAAGAAGAGAAAAGAAAGAAGAAAGAAAAAAAAAATGGTAAAAGAAAGGAAGAAAGAGAGGCATGTGTTGTCGGGCGCCCCCTCTTATCTTCCAAGGCGCATCGGTGCCGTCTCCGTGACGTGGGTTTTTACGCTCTACACCCATCACCAAATGAATCGTCCGGAGCTCTATACATGTATCTCCCTCTTTCGGTGCCAATGCGTGAATCGGGGATGGAAAAACATCGTAGCCGTGATCCGAATGAGAACGAAAGAGAGGAAGAAAAAAAAACCCCCCGAGGGGAGCCAAACAACTCGGCCATGTGCACCGCGTCGCTTTTCCCCCGTCGCACAATCCATGAACTTCTCTCTCTCTCTCTCTTTGTTTTCTCTATACCAAAAAGTTGAAAAATCATAACGAGTAATTGCAAAGGATCTAATAGGATAGGGAGCGGAGAGTCAATTGCACTCGAGCTTTCGGAGCAATCATCGTCTGGACAGACGCGTGCCGTATATAATACAGCTGTGTGACGCACGCTATCAACCGCATCGGGCAGCGGCAGCCATCGAGTTCTCATCGGACTCGCAAGTGTAGGTATATTATATACGTTGGAGACTAAGGAAACATCATTATTACGCAAGCGAGCACGAGGCTGTACAGTATAGAGCCCCGGACAATGTCAAGGCCAAAAAGCAGTAAAGTCCACGCCCGCATGCGGTGGTCTATATAGTATATATATATATTTTTTTTTTTATCGTAACACCCATTGCAAGGCTGAACGAACGCCGCCCGCGCCTTTTTCTCTCGCGCTTTATATACTAATACTTGTGGTACAAGTTATTATATT